GCTTGGAGTGGTGAGATTGGCAGCGATTCATAACTGTTGCAATATCAAAACCACTTGAGCAAGACCCTCGGAGCATGCCCCACATCCGGGACCTGGGGAAGGTGGAAGACTGGGCTGGGCTTCTCCCTTAATATCCCCCTTTACCTCAGATATATGAAGGAAACACTATGGAAGTACTAGTCTTACCCACTTTCCTATAGTCTTGAACCTTTTTACCCTAATTAACTATGTAAAGGTTGTAAAAAATATAATAAAAAAATTATTGTGGTATAAAGTCAGTTAACTGCTATTTTTCTGTATGATTAAACTCATTGCACATTTAAGTTTATATGTTTCATTTAGGTTTTTAGGAGTGACATTTTTATTTAAACTTATAGTGTAATTGTGTTTTTAAGCTTACATTAATAAAAAAAAAGGTACAGTTAAGAGTTTTTGGTTTCTATCCTTCTCACTTTTACCTTTGTTCTTTCCTTTCCTTTAAAAGTAACAATAATTAAGATTTGTTTATTTGAAAGATGGAGATGGAGAGAGAAAGCGAGAGCTCTCATTTGTAGGTTCATTCTCCAAATGCCTAGAACAACCAGAGCAGGGCTGGCCAGGCCAAAGCTGGAAGGCAGGAAGTTAGTCAGGATTTCCTAGCTGGTGGTAGAGCCCCAACCCTGTGAGCCTCCACCTGCTGCCTGCTAGGATGCGTCAGGAGTGGAGACACAGCTCAAACCCATGAGAAATATTCGTGGAAATACATGGTAGGAAAGGTTTATGCGTGGGTTTCAATTTTTTTTCATTAAAATAAACCTATCTTTCAATTGCATTTTTTTCCACATACTTTTTGGGTGAAAATGAAATTTGGAAGAGGAAGACTTCAAGCCCACTTTGTAAGATTAATGAAACAGATGTTAGCTGTCCTGTTTTATCCAGCCACCAATGCAAAACCTAAGGCTTAGTATTTATTGCATATATTCTGGTTGAAAGACTACACTGTAAACAAGAAGTTGGTGATGTTTCCACAAGAAAGGATGTTCTAAGATGATGGGAAGGGCATCAAGGAAGATTTGTAGTTGCAGGTGGTATTTGAATGGACCGTGAGAGACAATTTTAGGTAGTGGTTGAAGCTTTAAGACAATAAAATAACATGTACGCAGTAATTATTAGCATTTTGTGGGCAGCTCTTTAAGAAAATGAAATTTATTATGTTTGTACTTTGAATGTTTTTGTCTTTCAAATTTGTGCATTTTATAGCAGATTTGCTTTCCTTTTTGTTCAGGGTAATAATAAGGTGGCTTTGCCTAAATCAACATTCTAGTGAAGCAGCTTGAGAAGGCTGTGAGTGGGGAAACCAGCCAGGCACTAAGAAACTTCTAAATTGAAAAATGTACATACACATGGTGGAGAATATATGACACTTAGTCATTTCTGACTTCAGAAACTTTTGGAGTGTTTAGTTTCTTTGTGTAACAGATTGCGTCAGAGGAATACCTTAAAACGCTTTAGATTATTAAATATAGTAGAATTTTATTTCTAAAGACAGACCATAACTTAGTACTATTCACGATATTGAAAATATTACGAGTTTACTTCCGAAAGAAAAGTCAGGTTTACCGGCGGCTCTGGGAACTCCAGTTTGACTTGAGGATGAAGATGTTCCTGTGACAATGACAGATTTCTGTAACAAACTTACTGAAAGTCTCATATTCTGTTATAGGGCATTTTTTTAAAAAATTAATTAAGATTTGCAAAAAGAAATAAATCTGTTTCATGTTATTACAGATCTAAAGATCATTTTTTAAAAATACAAAATCTTAAACTTTTAAGCCTTATCTCACTAGGAATTTTATTGTTACAGAAATGAGATATTTAGAGGATCTTATTTTTAATAACTTAAAATCTTCTAAGAAGTTGTTTTGGGGAAGTTTCTTATTCAAACTTGTACCTGAGATAGCTATGAATACTGTTCCTTAGTTTTCAAAACAATTTTACATGTAGTTTCACATTTAGTGAATATAATCATAATATTCCCAAACTCCTTAGGTGCAGTTTCTATGGTTACCAGATCCTTTGTAGAGGGACAAAGGTTGGAATTCTGATTCTCTTGAGTCAGATTTTGGCCTTTGACTCTGTCCTCTTTTTCACATCCCTTGCTCAGCTTGGGCTGTTGCTATGCTTGGAGGCTTGTCAGCTAGCAGGTTCCTATGGTAACGGGAATGGAAATTTGAAAGAAGAGAGGGAATGAGAATACAAAGGCTTGGTTGATTTGAATTTGAACAAAGAATGGAAGGTTCCATGTTGTGCACCTTTGTTGCAGAAACCAGAAATTTAATTTTAGAAAGTTGTCTTCTAGTTTGTAAACTTCCTGTACACTGCTCTTGATTTAGTCAATGGAAGTTTAATGTTTAGGGAGTACTAACAATGTTTTAAAATTCAATCAGCTAAAGCTCTTTTTTTCTGCTTCACAGATCTTTAATAGTACCCCCTGTCTTATACTCGGCTTTTCAGTTTTTTTCAAGCTCTCTGACTTAATTCTGATTTTGCCAACACTAAAAAAATTGTTAAGGTTAAAAATCAAAGCAGTTTGATTTGTTTTGTATAAGTTTATTGAGATGTAGTATGTATGCAAAAAAGTACACATGGTTGAAGTTTTCAGTTTGATGAATTGACAGATATTATGATACCACCACCATACAACCAACATATAAAAGATTACTGCTATCTGAACAGCTTTGTTTCTCTTTGTAACCCAAACCCCTTCCTATTCTCTGTACTAAATGATCAGTCATCTAGCATTAGGGATTACTTTTCATTTTCTGGAGTTTTATGTCAACAGAATCTTAACTTGTAATTTTAGATTTCTGATTTTCACCAAGCATGGTGGTTTCACTTCTTAAAAATGTCAAGCCAGTTGACTTTGTTAAGACAGTTGAGAACAGGGAATTTTTGCAGGTTCCTCATGCCCACCAAATGGACCTGTAACAGCTCTGTTGTCTTTTGTCCATTATTTGGTCCCATTAAACCATCAATTAGCAGTGCTGTATATGATGTGCCTTTTTATTTATATGCTATTAAGACAGTTTTGCAGAAGCTTAGACGTCAAGGAAAACAGATTGGTTAAGTATAAGGCCCTAGATAGGCACGGCAACATTTGAGCAATCCCTGAGTCTCATTCCCTCTCCCCCCAAAGTATATATAATAGAATTAATAGTACCTACCTTATAAAATTTTTGTGAGTTAAATGAGATGATGTGTGTAAGGCACCTTGAAAAATGCCTAGTCTTTAGCCCTGAAATGAAAGTATTAGGATGTGGCATTTCAAACAAGTCTTACTGATTTAAAGCAAGGTTAGAAGCAAGGAGTTGCATGCTCAGTGCAAGCAGCATAGAATAGTCATTCAAATCAGTTTTGTAGTTTACAGTGGGGTTCACAGATGGGGGTTTTAGCAACATTGTTGCATAACAGTATCTGCTTGTTTGATATTTTATAGTTTGCTTATAATATTGCCTAGCAAATTTGAAACTTTGGAACTTAAGTCGTACATAGGCATCTGCTAATGATGTGTGAACATATCAACATATGTTGTAATCTTTTAACTTTTAAAATAATTTTTATGTGCAACTCATTGTGTATGTTTATTGTTACATATGTGAATATGCATATGTGTTTAGTCCTTGCAATTTAAACCCTTGTACAGATTTGCGTTACCTGCATGTGGTCAAGATACAGAGCACCACCACAATGTTCTCTCATTATTCATCTCTCCCTCATCACCTGTCCCGAGCCCAGAAAAGCATGACTCTTTCCCACAGTGTGATTTTGTCACTTTGAGAGTATTGTATGCTAACCTTTTCGGGTGCTTTGGCAGAATACCACAGATTGGGAAGCTTATAGAGAAATTTACAGAGAATTTTCTGATAATTTTGAAAGTAGGAACATCCAAGATAAAGGTGCTGAGCAGGAGGCAGAGTGTGATTGCCCACTAATAGAAGGCTGAGGGAGCCAAATTTGTCTTTTAAATAGGAGAGACTTCTAGAGAATGTACATAAATGTGGAGAGGAAATTGGTTATATAACTTGCTGTGGGAACGAAGTCTAAAAAGCTGTTATATAGACTTAAATAGTGTTAAATTTTTTTAAAGAAATTGAATGTTTCTTAATGGCAGGACTTGGTTATGAAAATACCTGTAGCTAGGTCAGAATCATTATTGACTTTTATATAAACTGTTACATGAACAAGAAAATATTCAGTAGTCAATTTTTGTCTATTCCTGTGTTTTTAAATAATTATCTTAATATGGTTTTATGTTTGACACGATAATTTTTCCTTTTGTATTTTTTTAAAGTTTTATTTATTTTAAAGGAAAGTCAGATTTACAGAGAGAAAGAGAGAGAAAGATCTTCCATCTGCTGATTCACTCCCCAAGTGGCTGCAACAGCCAGGGCTGAGCCAATCTGAAGCCAGGAGCTTCTTCAGGTCTCCCACATGGGTACAGGTCTTCCTGCTCCCTATTTTTGGCCTGACAAGGCAGCAGAGGAAAGCCTTGGGACCCTGCACTCATGTGGGAGACCCAGAAGAGGCTCCTGGCTCCTGGCTTAGGATCTGCTCAGCTCTTGCTGTTGCGGCCACTTAGGGAGTGAACCAGTAGATGGAAGGTCTTTCCCTCTTTTTCTTTCCTTCTCAGTATATCTGCCTTTCCAGTAAAAATTAATAAATCTTTTAAAAAAAATGAATTGTGTTACTGTTAGTGATTCTCAATCCTGCCTCTTTACTAATCCTACCTATAACATTTGTAACATACATACAGATTATGGTATCTACCTCAGACATAGCCAAATCAGATTCATTAGAGACAGAGCTAGGATTTTTAAAAATAAGAACTCTTCATAAATGTTTTTTTTCCTTAAATGTTTTAATAACCTTCTGAAACTTTGAAAAAATAAATGTTGCAATGTATAAAGCCTTAACCCTTTTAAAGCCCTGTGTTTAATTATTCAATCTTAACTTTTCCCCAGCCATTCCATCCTATGGTGAATTTGGATTGTTCTCGAGATTTCCGGCCATTTCTTTGTGCACTGTATGCCCCTATTTGCATGGAATATGGTCGTGTCACACTTCCCTGCCGAAGGCTGTGTCAGCGAGCTTACAGTGAATGTTCAAAGCTCATGGAGATGTTTGGTGTTCCTTGGCCTGAAGACATGGAATGCAGTAGGTATGAAAATTTTTATTGACATTGTGGCAGTTTAAATACCTTTACAATGTATATATGTTAATGATTAAGGTACTTCTGTTAGTTATTTGCGTGTGTGTGTCACAAAATAATGTACCAAATCCAGGAAATATCGCATGCTTTTCAAATTATACTCAATTTGCAAGACTTACTAATTGAGGATTTGTTTACCTGGCATCTTTATAGTTTTGTATGAACACCATTAGTAATAGTATACTACACATGCACTCATCATATAATGTACTTTTTGTGTTTCTCACGGAGAAGGAAAATGAATGCTCACTTACCAATAATTATCTAGTTTTGTCCAGTTTTAATTTTTTTTAATGGTTGCTTCAGACTTTTGTAAGAAATAAAATAATGCAGCTGCAATTAAAGGACCTTCTTTGATACTCATCTTGATCCTTTGCTGCCCTGGGGTGAGGTAATCATGATGGATTTGTTGTTAACCATTTTCATGTTTTTCCCTTAATTCATTTATCAGTAAGGCAAAGAGGAAGAGACAGAGAGCTCCTGCTCTCTGGTTCCTTACCCCTCGTGCCGGTGTTTGGCCACAAGTGGGCTAGAGCTGGGCATTCAGATGATGGTGGCAGGAAGCCTGTTGTTTGAGCCATCACTCCTGCTTCCTGAAGTGTGCACGAGTGGGAAGAAGCAGTCAGGAATCAGCTCAGTGTGCAAGCCCTACACTTGGATGTGGGGGTGCAGAAGTCCTAATCACCGTCTTCCCTGTTTGTTAGGAATTTTTACTACATAGATGCATATTTATAAACCACAATTTTTTGCATGTTTATGTTTTAGGTCCGGCCTATTCCTTTTCATTTCTGTATAGTGGCCAGCTATATTGCCTTATAGTTTTTTAGCTGTTTCCTACTCAGCATCATTCTGGTTATTTCTACATTGTTGTGAACATTAATTTTTTCCTTTAGAAAAATTTTTTATCTTATAATAACCCTTGGAGAAATATAAAGCAGATATTACTATTGACAGATGGAGACGCTTGGGAAATAAAGCATGTGTTGCTTTTTTGGAGTCAATTCAGTGATGTTTTCTTTTTTCCTTTTTGTGTCTCACCTATTTGACTTATTCTCTTATCCCCCCAGCTAAGCATTCATCACTCTCCAGACACTTGGGAGTGTTTATAGTTCTCTTTTAGAAGTCTGTAAATTTCTTGATCTTTACAACAATGGTGGTGAATTGCTTGGGCAGAAATTCTACTTTAAACCCCTTGTATTTTTTTTATTTATTTTTTTAATATTTTGACAATCTTTACATAGTAAATTAGGGTAAAAAGGTTCAAGACTATAGGAAAGTGGGTAAGACTAGTATTTTTTCCAAATTGTTTCCTTCATGTTTAAAAGGGGGTATTAAGGGAGAAGGCCCACCCAATTTCCCACCCTCCCCAGGTCCCGGATGTAGGGTATGCTCTGAGGTTCTTGCTCAAGTGGATTTGATATTGCAACAGTTATGAATCGCTGCCAATCTCACCACTCCAAGCACGATGAGGTCTTTGAAGAATCCACTGATTAACATAGTCCATCATAGAGTCTCTGTTTGCCCCGTATTTCGTTGCCAAGATATAGCTGAGATGGTTGGTTGAACTGTTCTGTCTTCTCTGTTTTCTTGGTTAGGGTTCTGAGTCCAGCATTTTGATTGGGGAGATCTCCAAAGAAACTTTGTCTGAGGTGTTCCCAGACCAGATTCTAGTGTGTACTAGCAAGTACAGGTCCCAGCACAGTCCATCGCCCTGATCAGCTGGTGGTTGCAATTGCTGGGTTGGTTCTGTTTCCAGCGCTATCTTCCACTGGAACCAATGGGTGTTGCAGTCCAGCCTGGTGCTGCCCAGCACATACTTGGCCCTCACATAAACCAGTGGGAGCTGCAGCCTAGTCAGAGCGCCCCACAATGACCCCCACCAAGCCCGCCCTCTACCGTGGTTTGCCAGTATGTGTAGCAGTAGTCCAGTCTGTCCCACACCCCATTCCACCCCAGCCCCTGTCCTAGTTTTCATGCCCTCCCATGGAAGTGGTAACCCAAGAGGGAGGAGCCCACTATTTCCCTCCCAGGCCTCTCCCACCCCCGGATTATGCACTCTCCAGATAGTTCTGTGGTTTGACTTGACAGAACTAGCCCCCAGTGCCAGCTTCTGCCAGCTGATGCTGCAGCTAAGCCCAAACAGCCCTCACCCACTCTAATTGTAGTTTGCACCAGTAGGAATAATCACCCTCTACCGACTTTTCCCTGATCTAGTCCACATGAGGCCCACAGGTGTTGTAGCCCTGCCTAGTCTGGTCTGCCCCCATCCCAGCCCACGCTCTCCATTGGGAGTAGCTGTCCAGCAGGGGTACCCCCCATACTCCCCTGCCGGCTCCATCCCCTCCTTTCCTGGTTCTCATGTGTGCTGGTTGGGTGCTGCGGTCACATCTGGTACAGGCAACCTCACCTTGACATTCCATATGGTGCACTGGTTTTTGTTGTGACCCAACCCAGCTCCACCCACACTCTGTTCTGGTCTTTGGATTTGCCAGTGGATGATGTGGACAGATTCAGCCTGGTCTTCCCCCGACCCATGCCAATTGTATGCCAGTGGGAAACTTTACATGGCCTGTTCTGGGCTGTTTCCTACCATGCTTCTTGCGCTTAGCTGCAGGGTCTGTGTCCTGCCAGAGGAGTTGCCCAGGCTCCTCCATCAGAACCTTTCCCAATGCCAGGTTTCACGCTTACCAGTGGGTCCATGAGCCAGCCCTACTCAGTTCACCTCCTGTCCTAGCAGGAACAGTGGCTTTTCCTGACCGGCCTTCAACCCAAAACCCCTTGTATTTAATTTCTGTTGTTTGAAATTGATAGTTATTTGTAATTATCAATAATTATAATTATGAAAACCTCACTGTAATCTTTATTTTAAGGGGATTAAATATATTTGATTTCCTCTTTATGGCCTAGAATTCACAATTGTGAAATTGTAAATTCTGGTAAATTGATATTTTTTTGGCTTTTTTTTTATTATCATTGGAAAGTCAGATATACAGAGAGGAGGAGAGACAGAGAGGAAGATCTTCCGTCTGATGGTTCACTCCCCAAGCGGCCACAACAGCCAGAGCTGAGCTGATCCGAAGCCAGAAGCCTGGAGCTCCTTCCAGGTCTCCCACATGAGTGCAGGGTCCCATGGCTTTGGGCCGTCCTTGACTGCTTTCCCAGGTCACAAGCAGGGAGTTGGGTGGGAAGCTGGGCCACCAGAACAGAACCAGCGCCCATAGGGATCCTGGCCCATGCAAGACAAGGACTTTAGCCTCTAGGCTACTGTGCCAGGTCTGCAAATTGGTCTTTTATAACAACATTTTATTCCTCCTTCTCTTATACCCTTGTTCCTAGCATACTCATTGTCTTATTTGTCCTACTGTAATACCACAGAGTGAGTTATTTATAAACAGTAGAACGTAAATTTTTTAGCCTTGTAGAGTCTGGGATGGCCCACGATGAGAGCTCTGAGAGGTTGTTTCTGGAAGGGCTGTTCTCAGTTTCCAAAGTGGCACCTGGTTGCTTTGTCTCCCGAGAAGAAACAGATTGTTTCTACAGTGAGAGGGCAAGAGAGTGAGAGGACTGAACTCCCTCTGAAGCTTCTTTTGTAAGGGTGGTAATCTGTTTCTGTGAGCAGAGCCCTCCTGAGTTCATCACTTCCCTGAAGGCCTCACCTTTGAATACCGTCACACTAACAATTATGCTTCAGTGCCTAATTTGGGGGGCAACGTTTTGTCAGTAGCATCCCTTTAGACCATGTACATCTGCACAAATTTTGATTTTTATGCTCACCCCCTTTCTGATTTCATTTATGTTATTTAGCTTAAGTGTTTCGATCTCTTACTTGAGATAACATACTTATTAGCAGTTTTACCTCATTCCTGTGCTTATTTAGGACTCCAAATGGACTACTTTAACCAATATCTCACCAATTAATTGAGTTATATATTTCAGAATTCCCAAACCACGGGAACTCTATCTGTGGCTAATTGTTTTTATCAGGAAATTTTTTGTTAAGTCTCCTTAACACTAATGTCCAATCTGTATCATTCGCTCATCTTGTTAAATCCATATCTCACCTTTTTCACTGCAACCTCAGTTTGTCCTCGTTTCCCCAAATCAGAGGTGAAATCACTCCTTTCTTCTTAGTTTCCTCCTTTGAAACTGTTTTGCTTCTGTCTCTTGATTAATGCTTCTTCCCCAAGTTCAGCTTCTCTTATTCTATAGCTTTCTTTGGATAATCTCATCTCACCGATTTAAAACTCTGTATACTAATGATGTCTAAATCTAAATTTGTAGCCTTTTTTTAAATCTCCTTGCTAAACTCTAACTGGGAATGAATCTTAGCCAGAATCTATCTCAAATACTTCAACTTAAGCATATCCAAAATTGGCTTTATTTCTCTGCTCATTGATGCATATTCCTTGGTTGTCATCTTCTGATGCTCCTTCCTTGACCCCAACAGCCACTTCCAATCACTTATACATTCTGTTATTTTTTAAAAAGATGTATTATTTTTATTGGAAAGGCAGATATACAGAGAGGAGGATCTTCCGTCCTATGGTTGACTCTCCAAGTGAGTACAACGGCCGGAGCTGATTGTATATGTGTCTCATTCTCTCTGCTTGTCTGTCTGGCTGGCTTGCTTTATTTATTTATTTATCTATTTCGTTAGTTGGTTAGTTATTTTGGCATCTCTTTAATTTGTTCTGTCCCCGCGGATAACTTTATTCTCATTTTTGCCTACTTCAGGTCTGACTTGTGCACAGCTCCTAGTTATGTTTCATATTACTTGGATTAGGGTCACATGAGTATTAATTTAACGTTCATTGGTTCAACACGTATTAGTTGAATGCCTTTAGTGTTAGTCACTGTTGTGCATGGGCAGTGTGTAGCTCTCAAGGAAGTAAAATGCTAATGGTGATAGTGGTGAGAGATAACAGCTAAATAGATGATGTCAAAATCATAAAGAATACCACAAAGAAAGAATAGGGTATGGTGATAGTGATACCATAGTGGGGAGCAGGGAAAATGTTTGTTAGTGTTACTGGAGAAATCCTTTCTGATGAGGAGCTGAACAAACTGAGGAAATAAATGATGCAAATATCCAGGGAAGAGCAATGCAGGCAGAGGATGCAGTGGAGTGTGTACAGAGGCCCTGAAGACAGAGCATACAGCGTGGATTCAAAGAGCTAGGGACTGGATCTTGGTGCAGCTGGTTGTGTTACTGCCTGTGATGCCAGCATCCCGTACAAGCTTTGGTTTAAGTTTCAGCTGCTCCACTTCCTATCTACCTCCCTGCTGGTGCTCATGGGCAGGCAGCCACAGATGGCACAAGTATTTGTGCCCTTCCCTGCCACCCAGAATTCTGCACTCTTGGCTTCTGCCTAGCCCAGCCTCAGCCGTTTTAGCCATTTGGAGAATCAACTGGCAGATGGAAAGATACTTTTCTCTTTCCCTGTTTCTCTGTCTCTGACTCTTCCTCCCTCTGTAACTCTCTGACTTTCAAAAAAACAATTCTCTTTTTAAAGGTTTGCTTTTTTAAATTTTAATTTGAAAGAATTATACAGAGAAGGGGATGTAGAGAGAGATCTTTCATCCATTGGTTTACTCCCCAAATAGCTGTAACAGCTAGAGCTGAGCCAGTTAGAAGCCAGAAGCTTCTTAGAGATATCCTGTGCAGGTGCAGGGACCCAAGGACTTGGGCCATCCTCCATTGCTTTCCCAGGCCATAACAGGGAGCCGGATGGGAAGTGGAGAAGCTGAGATGTGAACCAGAGTCTATATGGACTGCTGGCCACAGACAGAAGCTTAGCTTACTATACTATGGTACCAGCCCCAAATAAATAACTCTTTAAACAATAACAACTAAAACTAGAGAAGCAATGCCAAGTGAATGAGAAGGAATGGAAAGTAGTAAGATCAGAAAAGTACTGGAACTGGAATCTCTGTGGCTCTGATACAATTTAGATTTGATTCTGAATGAGATGGGGAGCCAGTTGACTGACTGGTTTTAAGCAGAACAAACATGATCATGAATACATTTGCTATGTGTCTGCAGAAGACAGTTGGAGGCCCCCAGAGAATTAAGCCATTTAGGAGAGTTTGTATGTTAAATCACACATCATCTTGAACCATGTGTTTAGGGAAGATTTTTTTTTTTTTTTTTTTAGCTCTCATGCTTAGATAAGTTCTGAGTCTAGGCTAAATTCAGAACTGTGTTACAGTTTAAAGGTTAGGAAAAGAGTAATTTAGCTACTGTTCTGGTGGAGCTATATAATTGTATCTATATATGTTGACACTAAAATCTTACTCCAAACAATATGTCCTTTATATTTTTTTCATATACTGTCACTAATTGATGGCTATGCTTTATTATTTTAATGACAAATACTGGTTTTGATGACAAAGCAAAATTATATAGAGAACATTGTCATTTTCACCCTAGCTATTAGAAATTTAGTTGTAGGACCCACACACAAGAAAATAACATTTACTTTTTTCCTGGTTGTTGCAATTACCATCCACAGACTTGGAAAAAATAGGTCTTAGGGGCTAAATTTAAAAATCCAAATTGTTCTGTTGCAGTAGATTTCCCATGAGTAAAAATCGCTCCCGTCTTGTGTTTTTCAGGTTTCCAGATTGCGATGAGCCGTATCCTCGACTTGTGGATCTGAATGTAGTTGGAGATCCAACTGAAGGAGCCCCAGTGGCAGTGCAGAGGGACTATGGTTTTTGGTGTCCCCGAGAGTTGAAAATTGATCCTGATCTTGGTTATTCTTTTTTGCACGTGCGTGATTGTTCACCTCCTTGTCCAAATATGTATTTTAGGAGAGAAGAACTCTCATTTGCTCGCTATTTCATAGGATTGATTTCCATCATTTGCCTTTCTGCCACGTTGTTTACTTTTTTAACATTTTTGATTGATGTCACGAGATTCCGTTATCCTGAAAGGCCTATTATATTTTACGCAGTCTGCTATATGATGGTATCTTTGATTTTCTTCATTGGATTTTTGCTTGAGGACCGAGTAGCCTGCAATGCATCCAGCCCTGCACAATATAAAGCCTCTACAGTGACACAAGGATCTCATAATAAGGCTTGCACCATGCTTTTTATGGTACTCTATTTTTTCACCATGGCTGGCAGTGTATGGTGGGTAATTCTTACCATCACATGGTTCTTAGCAGCTGTGCCAAAGTGGGGGAGTGAAGCTATTGAGAAGAAAGCATTGCTATTTCACGCCAGTGCATGGGGCATCCCCGGAACTCTAACTATCATCCTTTTAGCGATGAATAAAATTGAAGGTGACAACATTAGTGGCGTGTGTTTTGTTGGCCTCTACGATGTTGACGCACTGAGATACTTTGTTCTTGCTCCCCTCTGCCTGTATGTGGTAGTCGGGGTTTCTCTCCTGTTAGCCGGCATTATATCACTGAACAGAGTTCGAATTGAAATTCCATTAGAAAAGGAGAATCAAGATAAATTAGTGAAGTTTATGATCCGGATTGGTGTTTTCAGCATTCTTTATCTCGTACCACTCTTGGTTGTAATTGGATGCTACTTTTATGAACAAGCGTACCGTGGCATCTGGGAAACCACATGGATCCAAGAGCGCTGCAGGGAGTATCACATTCCATGTCCATATCAGGTAAGGGAAACCTTCTTGCCAATTTCAGAATGTGTGACAGTGAAAAGCAGATGTGTGACTATTTGGAGGTAATGTAAACTGTTTGCAAACACTTTTTCATGAACCTTCCATTTGTGCATTAAAATTTTAAAGTGAAGATAATTAACATACATGGTAGTAAGCATGTAATAGACATATTTGTATGAACATCTAAAAAGGTGACTTATAAGTCTAAGATACTGACCTAATCAGTTTACCTTTGTTACCACAAAACAATTGTTTGTTGATTCTTCAAAAATCCCAAATTGGTAGAACTCTGATAAAAAGAGCACTGTCATTTTCTGGAAATCTTACTGATGACCAGAATAGAAATTGTTTTAAGGGTTTTGCAAAAATAACAGAATGCAATTATACAAACTCTTATGTCTTCGTTTTCTTTGTCTACTGCTAATAGTTTACAGTTTAAAGACTTCCAAGTGTCTCCTAGTCACAGAATCATAGAATTTTAGATTCCCTCTTTAATATAGAGTTTTTAAAGATGTGCTATGTATACATACACACATACACATGGAGGGAAATTTGAAGTTTAGAAACATTAAGTGATTATGCTGCTGCATAATGAATAATGTTAAGAGGGAAATGGAGCAGAGTAATTCAGAGGAGTTGATACTAGGTATTGGTCTGTCCTATCTTAAATCTTCCTCACAAGTCTACACCCTAGTTACTGCATTCTCTACTTCCTTTTACAACAACTTAAAGGAGTATACTAGTGTCTCTTCTTCATTATGTTCCAGATTTCCTGTTTTCAAAATGTACCATCCAACTTTCCATCTCCCCTGACCTTTACATTCCCTAATATGTTCTAAATACCTTTATTAAAGTGCTTATGTTATATAACTTTTGTTTACTTATCTCTTTCCCTTGCTATGCCATGAATGCTTAGCAAGCTAAATTTTTTAATTGTTTTAATACATTATCTGTAGGTTGGTGGCTGATGGCAATGAAAATGTGGAAATATAGATTGAGAAATTTGAAGAAATTACGGTGGCGGTACTAAATAAAGGGAGTCTGGGATTAGCCAGAGCTAATGCTTGTTAATATTTGTTGAGTAAGAATACCAGTTTCCCTTTGTAGTGTAACTAGTCCTATAAATTTTTTTTAATTGTCAGTATGTAATTATTAGCTAATTATTTTTTAAGTCAAGTCAGATCAGAAAAAATGAATAATTGAAAGTCTACTAAATTTCTTATCAATTTGCTAACTGAAAATTTTTATTGTGAGTTTTCAAACATGAAGGTAGGTAAGCAGATTTTACCTCAGCTAGGAGAGAATGAAAAATGGTTAAAATACATCATGTGCCTCCCCAAATAAATTATCTAGGATTCCAAATAAATGTTATTTTAGGGCTATTGAAAAAAAATTGCCTCTGAGAGAATTGTCTTAAAAAATACCAAATCTCAAATAGGTAAATTAGTAAATTAGAATAATTGGGCTGCTGTTTTCAAACCATTCATAATATTTAAGTTTATTTTCCCTATTCATTTGAAAGGGAACTTGCATCCTATAGTTCACTCCCTGAATGCCTGTAACAGCCAGGGTTGGGCTAGGCTGATACCATGAGCCAGGAGCTCAGTCTCCGTGTCCTAGATGTGTGCCAGGGGTTCTAGGACCTGAGCCATCTTTTGCTGCTTCTAGGGTGTGCATTATCAAGAAGCTGGGTCAGAAGTGGAGCTAGGAGTCAAGCAAAGCACTCCACTATGGCATGCAAGTGTCCCAAGTATTGACATAATGTCTCTGCACCCACTGTAAGATCTGATTCTCCAGCACCTTCAGAACCTGGTACAACTAGGAGAAAGGAGGTATTTCTGACAGGGCTGTAGAAGACAGGAGTTCCATCAGGTCCAGTCCTTCTTTGGCCTTCAGCTATTTGCCCATATCTACCAAGGGTTCATCAGCCAAAGAGGACTAGATCAAAAAAGTTCATTTTATAATAAAATATGAACCAGATTAAAGGGGAGATGTGGCACTGATGGTGGAGTAACAGATTGTACCAAAAATACCAATGTTGCATCCAGATGATGTGGCTATTTCTGCAACCATATAAAGTAGTCGGGCTGGCATTAGGCTAGGCTAAGATGAATGTGGTATTAGTTTCTAGTGTTAACTCTTAAGGGTGTAACAAAGTATTCTGCCATCAAAATGAGTAATAACAGCTTTTTAAAAAGATTAATTTACTTGAACAAGAGATAGAGAAGGAGATCTTCCATCTGCTGGTTTACTCCCCTCAATGGCTGTAGTTTTGGGGACTGGGCTGACACAAGCCAGGAACCTGGAACTCCTTCCAGGTCTCCCATGTGGGTACAGAGGTCCAAGTACTTGGACTGTCTTCTACTGCTTTCCCAGACATATTAGCAAGGAGCTGGATCAGAAGCTAAGCAGCTGGGCTCCAGCCAGTAGTCTGATACGAGATAGTGGCATCACTAGTGGTACCTTAACCCCTGAACCACAAAGGACCCCTCTTAACTTTTTTTTTTTTTTACTAGTTAACTACAGCCAGTGATAATCACCCAGTTTTGTTTATGATGTTTTATTGGAACCTGAGCCAGGGTTATGGTGAAGCAAGTGGGACAACGTCATGAAAGTGCAATAGAATCTTGTCTGTATCTAAAATTGGATATTTTATTCATTGTACAGTTGTTGGACTCCTTTTGATTTTTTTATTTAGATTGCCCTTAGTTCTTGTTTACCTTGTTTACCTTGATTACCTTGATTACTTGATTCCTCAAGTTCTTTACCAGAGATCAGTCTTATAAGCCTATCCAGCATCTACCTTAAACCTGAGACTACTGCCCTGAAAATTATTTCAGCATCTTTAGAATCAGGTTAACCCTATGTAGTCATAAATATATGATTTTTTTTAGTCATAGGCTTAAAGTGTTTTCATGAAATAGTTCCAATATGCAGATAATAATACAGAATAATACTGTAATAGACTTATGAAGTTGTAAGCTCTGGAACAAGAATCCCATTTTCCTGCTGTTAGGAGCTTTATAACATTGGACCAATTTCACCTTTCCTTCTTCAGTTCTTCATGTTTAATACAAGGATAATAAAATAATATACCTCCTAGATATTCCCCCCCATGGGTAAGGTTAATTTTAATATTGTGTACATGTTTAGTAGTGTATTTATTGCACCATAGATACTCAAATGTTCACTTTATTACTCTCTTCTACTTCATGATGTTGTTGTTGTTACTTGTTTACATATCTAAACACACATATTCCAATACTTAATCTGAGAAAATTTTGCATTTGCTTCAAGAGGTTTGATGGAAATCATATTTTGGATATCGCTAAAGCTCCTTGTATACCCTTCCCTAATTCTGTTCTTTTTATTCCCTACCCTGAGGAATTCATCATCCTGAATTTGGAATATATCATTCTCAACAAAAGTCTATACAGTCACTGATGTGCATGTATCTATAATCTTTTTTAATTTTTATGTAGTATTAAAACAATATACTGTGATAGTGTCTTGGTGTATTTTAACTCAGCATTTTGTTTTCAAGGTGTATTTATGTTCATACTGCAGCTCTAGTTTTTGTTTTTTAAGATTTTTTTTCAAGTATTGTGAAGAGGGAGAGACAGAGGTCTTCCATTCTCTGGTTGACTTCCCAAATGGCTGCAATGGCCAGTGCTGGACTGTTTGAAGCTGGGAGCCAGGAGATTCTTCCAGGTCTCCCATGAGGATGCAGGGGTCCAACCACTTGGACCATCTTCTGCTGCTTTTCCAGGCTCATTAGCAGGTAACTGGATTGGAAGTGGGACAATGAGACTGGAATCTCATATAGGATGCTGGCCTGCTTTACCAACTATGCCACAATGTTGGCCCCTTTAGTTTTTTTTTTTTAATGCTTTATTTAGATGTTCACAAATATTATAAAATATTTCTTGAAATATTCAACATCTGTGTACTTAAACTCAACTTAATATTGAGGTCTTACATCTGTATCTGTTCATCTGTCTAATAGTAAAAATGAAGTTGATTATTCCTCTGTTCTCTTCCATATCCTGCTCCCCTTTTATTTCCCTCCTCAGTGATGGCCTTTCTCATAAACATGGTGTGTTTCATTCTCTTAAACATTTTAAAACTGTTGCTGCAATTTACGTATTAATAAAACCTACTGTTATACAGTTTTAGAAAACTGTAAATAGGATCATTCCATAACTTGCTTTTTTCTTCAATTTTACAATTTTCAGAATACATGTATTGGTATGAGAGCTGCTAATAGAGATAGTAGACTGTGTTAAATCATATCTTCCTTACACATTAACAAGAGTTTCTGTGTTTTGTAGGCCAAGCAATGTTATTGTTGCATTACAGAATATAAGCATCTTAGACTGGAGAATTCTTAGACCAGGAAATGAATTTCTCATTTTCTAAATCTTGGTATTCTCAATGTTTTAAATTTTTGTCAGCCTTTGAAGTGATATCTCAATTCTTTAGTAATTTGTTTTCCTTGTTTACTGTAGGGTTCTTTGTGTTTTCATGTGTTTCTCCATTGCTCTAATGTTATTCATTTTTTGTAGTTAAAATGTGCTTTGTAATTTTTTTTAAGATTTATTTATTTAGAGCCCGGCGCGGTGGCGCAAGTGGTTAAAGGTCCTCGCCTTTCACGCCCGGGATCCCATATGGGCACAGGTTCTAATCCCAGCAGCCCCGCTTCCCTTCCAGCTCCCTGCCTGTGGCCTGGGAAGGCAGTCGAGGATGGCCCAAAGCTTTGGGAACCTGCACCCGCGTGGGAGACCCGAAGAGGCTCCTGGCTTCGGATTGGCATAGTATTGACCCATTGCGCTCACTTGGGGAGTGAATCATCGGATGGAAGATCTTCCTCTCTGTCTCTCCTCTCTGTACATCCGCCTTTCCAATAAAAAATAATAATAATAATAATAAATCTTTTAAAAAAAAGATTTATTTATTTATTTATTGGAAAGTCAGATATACAGAGAGGAGGAGAG